CTAAACTATGCTCAAAATGTATTGACCAAACAATTTTGATCTATATTAGCCTAATTTGCAAAATAAGAACTGGTGGCTTGTTATGATGAAACCAGTATCTGTCACAAAGGGACAGCTGCTTCCATATTTCAGTTTAGCAAGGGTTGGAAATGTAGGATTTGGAGTGAGAGAGTTGGTTGGTTGGATTTTTTACTTTCTGAAACCATGAACAAAATTGTATTGTACTATGTTGGGAAAAAAAAATCATGTAATAGAATGATCAGCCCCAACAGGCATGCATGTCTCCCTTCATGCAAGCTAAGAAAAGCACAGCCTCCTGCTTACATATGTGTACGTGTACATGTGTCACAGCAAACAGCTAAGCTTTCAAATCTGGAATAGGCTCGAGCAGAGAACAAAGGGCCAAAGCATACAGTACATCCAGAAGGGGGAGCAGAGAAATATATTGTGTGTGGTCATACAGGAGGGACATGATGGCCAAACAATTACTAAGATACATGGAAAAGGAATATGGAGGAGGAAAAAACTCAGGATATAGCTAGGAGAAAGTGAATAGGCACTGCCTTGCAAAATGATGAGCCTCTTCAAATGACAACCATTTAGGTAGGGTACTTTCCTTTAATCACTTGATTTCATTTGTTTCTAACATGCCTTTTTCTACAGGGCAAGTGTAAGATTACTTGTCTTGCACTGAAATTTCGATTGGTGGAACTGTCAACTGCTGAATTTTTGCTCTACTTTACAGAAAAATAACCCAACCCTGCATTTCTCCATCTTCTTTTGAAATGCAATTAGTGCAAAAAATGTTTTTGGAAGCCCTGACTTGTAGTGGCACCTAAATACCACAATGTAATCACTTTTAAATGTATTATGTGATAATGCCCTCCTGCAAGTCTGGGAAACAGTCTGCTTCATTGGCTCTGGTGAGATACCAAAAATGGGTGATCTGCATTATTATTTCATAGCATCTGCAGTCAACTCCCCTACTGACTAAAGGGCAGAGCTCATTCAAATGTTCTGTGTGCTTACATATATTTTAAAGTGCATGTTTACTTACTTGAGTTTCTACGTCAATATTTAACTTGTTAATCAAATCAGATATTCAAAAGAGTGAACCTCAAGTTTTCACACTATACTGCAAGCAGGAAGTGTAGTTATAACCTTAGCATCTTGGACACATTTACTACTCTAGCTCCCCAGCTGTCTATCTAAGGTATTTATAGTGTGCCAGTCATCATAGTATCTAGGCACTAACCACTGCTCTCCTACCAGATGGTGGGCAGGATAGTCATATTCAAAAGGGCAGGGTTATAAAAAGGAGGGAGGAAATATTTTTTCAGATTCATTTACTTCTTGCTAATAAAGCCAGACATATAAAAATGTCTTTTCCCCTCATCCATCTTGGGGCATTGCACCTCTCATTACTCATGACCAAAGTGTAACCTTGTAATCAGAATGCAGTAAGTAGCAGGCTCCTTAATCTCTTCTGATAATTAATGAGTGTGGGTGTGTTTATACACTTATTTTTTGCCATTCTGGAGTAAAACAGAACTATACATAGGCACAGTGATAATATAGGATGTGTATCTGTCCAGTAGATATACACAGACTAATGCTGACTATAGATATGGGGTAGAAATATTAAAGACTCCCATATCTGTGGTACTGAAAAATTCATTCACTCCAATCTTACAATGGGGAAAGCAAGGAAAAAATCTAAACAGCAGGATACGACAATAAATGGGAAAACAGCAATAGAAAAAGCACACTAGGTTAATATAGGAAAACTAGTTTCTTTATTGAGAGATTGTGTATTAGTATTAGTGGAATTGTGTGTAACAATGTCATCATGCACACAATACAAAAAGGCAAGGCCCACCATGCTATGGAGGGGCAACAGAACAAAAGCAGCGTACAATGAGCAGATGTATAGGCTACAGCACATTACATTTCAGCAGGGTATGTCTCTACAGAGAGATTTACATCAGAAACTAGGTAATGTAAAAAAATACAGACCATGCTTTAGTTTTAGTACAAGAAAAAAGGTGAAGATACACAACCAAAGGATATTTGATACAGAAAATTACCCACAAAATAAGAACAGGAAGTAATTTAGCACAGCAGAAAATGTTATCCCTGTTTAATGGAAAACCATTTTGCCAGGAGTCTCTCTTTTTAAAAAAATAATGTCATTAAAATTGCCATTTAATATGCTTCTTTGGAGCAGCGTTAATTGATCAAATGTTTGTGTCCAATTGATACACACTAAATGAAGTGTTTGGATCATTTCTATAACAGGCAATTGTATATACTGGATGTTTCAGCTTTCAAAGAAACAGATGGAGGCCAGCTGTTGAAAGTGGTGTAATTTTGGCCAAGACTGTGTGTGATATATAATGTACAAAGATGCAGTACCCCTTTGTATTACAAAGTCTTTGAATAATCCTTGTTAATACGCAGGGTGGAGGAATATTCAGATGTTCATATGCTTAGTGTCCCCATTTATTCACGGATCTTATTCTCCAACTATTTTTCAAGCCTTTTCTTAAATTAAGGCTAATTTAATTGCAGATTTTATTATTATTATTTTTGCCTATGATTGACTGTAATTTGTTTAGTCATAAAAGCGTTCTAGATGGCAAACCAATGGTTGTCTAAAGAACTAGAAAAAACCCCCACAAGATACTGCATCCACCAACTAAAGCAAAATGAATCCACTTAACAGGAATTTACAGTGCAATGTACTTAGCTAAACAAGATGAAGATACAAAAATGGCTGTTATTATCTACAGCTATTCTGAAATGGCCTGTTTTCTATACTACTACAATGAAATTAAAAAGAGCAGATTTAAGCTTACAGACTGTCTAATAGTTTTACAAGAAAATTGTGGTTTAGGACTTCAGGTTTAAGCATTAGTATCCTCTGTCACAAGGTCTTTTATGGCTCATTTTTATGGGTCAAATATCAATAGCCCCTTTACAAGTTTCTCTGTGGGGATGTTCAGTTTTAAGTAAAATGAAAGAACCCAAAATGAAATGTAAATTTGGGGGAGAGAAGGCAGAGAACCCCTCCCACCCCACTAAAACTAATTTGAAATTGAAAACATTAAATTGCATCCAGTAATGGTATTAAAAATCAGTGTAATTAATGATGATAATGATTTAATCAGGATGATTATACTTTGGGGCTTAACATCAGTCTTAATTATTTTTAATGTATGCCTAGTATATAATAAAAAATCCTAGACATTCTCAAATAATAAGGATAATTGCACAGATGAGAGGGAGGGGGGGAAATTAGTGTTACAGAGAAATCTCATCAATCTAAGCCTTTTTGAAATTGACAGACAGCCCATAGAGAGGGGATACTGCAGCTTAAATATCAATGCCTTCCTCGGATGGATACAGGAAATGGTTAAGAGAGGGGTGTCACAATACAGCTAAATGCAGAGGCAGAGGGCTACAGCACACAGCAGCAAGTTGACCATTCACTGTGCTACACAATGAAGAAAAAAAAATAAAGATTTGATAAATGCAAAATGTCATCATCCCATCATCACAATAGAGACTGCAGTTAACAATGCCACTATGTTCAACCTGGGTCATATGTACACATACAGTAAAGGGAAATAAATTTTAAAGCGGTTGGGCAACAGCAGGAAAGGAAAGACCAGATTCTGATCTTAGTTACACTGGGGGTAAATCAGCGCATCTGAAGCCATCCGTGCAGTGGAGTTACTCTGGATTTATAGCAGTGTAAACTGAGATCAGAATCTGGACTGACTCTAATTATGCTAGATTTTAACCCATCTTTTATTGGGTCCCCAGTGATCAAGATCTCAATGGTAAGTGCATCATCTTTAAGAGGAAATTTATTTTATATATAAATAAAACTATAGGGACTTGACCAACAATAGGCCAAAGGGGGGTGGGCGGTCAGGCTGGGGGCACATTTCCAGGAAAGAAATGTAAGGAGAGAGAAAGGCTGATTTAGAAATAATAATGACTCTAAATGCATCCTGATTTTGATAGAAAGAAAATGGAAGGAATGAGGGAGAAGGGGTGGGGGAGAAGAGGGAGAGGTCCAGGTCCATTGTCTGTAGCAGAATGTGGGGTGGATGGGAACGAGGGGAGGTGGAAAAAATATGCAGTGGCCATACACATCCCATATTAAATCTCTGTGAAAAATAATCATCACGCTGCTTTCCTGAAAAATCTCTCTGAGCAATAAGAGCACCATGGAGCTGTGGACTGATGTGCTGCTCTCCAGAAACAACATTACCATTAGAATCCCCAAAGAGAGGAGGACAAATTACAGGAGATGGGAGGCGGAGAAGGAGGGGGGGGGAGGGAATGTCCAACAAGAAATAAAAGTCACCCTAAAAACGGTCGGCTAATTCCAAAGCTATTTTAGTCCATTACAGAAGAAACAGCAAGGGACAAAAAGAAAGGTTCAGAGAGGGTGAACGTGCTCTCGGTTCCCAAGAGAGTGGGGGAGGGACGAGATAAGCTGGAGACCTCAGCTTGTAAATAAATAATAATAAAAGCACAAATCAATGGTTAAACAGAGCACACACACGCCCAAAACACAAAATAAAATCGCTACCTACTGAATGCACAAAATCAAAAAAGAAAAAAAAATCCTGTTTTTAGCCCTCTACCCCATCTGGGCATAGAGCGAGGCAGGTCTGGGCTCGGCTTTCCACCCGAGAGCTAGATGGGTCAGGTGGGAAGCAGGGGGCAGATGGTCCGAGTGAAAGGAAGGAGGCTCTCCGAATCCAAAGGAGAAGACTCTAAAAGAATCCCACCGCTGGGTTGCTGGGTTTTCTTTCTTTCCTTCCCCCTCCACCCTCCTGCATCGGATCCGCAAGAAAGAGAGACAACGAGGAGCCCGGGGGGAAACCCTCCAGAGAAACCAAAGGATCGTGCATTTAAAAAAACAACACACACACACACACACCACCACCACCGAGAATAAGCCCCGAAGGATAAAGCGATACCTCTGTTTCGTACAGAGCCAAACACTGGAAGAACAAGATAGCCGACGTGCACTAGAACCATCCTGCCTGGCTGCGGCTGCGGTCCCTTTGTTGTGCTGCTCCTGGGTGGAGGTGGGAGCGGGGCTGCTGCTGGCTGGGAGACAGATGGCCCATGGAAATGGTCCCTTCCAATCCCCTATATACATTCAAATGTGGAGCTGGGACTGCAGCTGCCTGGCACACAAAGGGAAGGGCAGCCAATGGGAGGGAGGCCTGAGAGGAGGGGGTGGTTGGTTCTTTCTTGCTGGGGTTTTTTATATATATATCTTATTATTATTATCTCCAGCTTGGGTCTTTGTGACAGGGAGGAGACCCAATCAGGGGCTGGGGCTGGGCTGAAGCCTGCCCTGGGTCCTGCTGGCTACGCTGCCTCCAAACAAGGAGATGGAAGCAAATTGGGGCCAGGGTCTGGAAGGCTGGGGGTGGATTTCACACCCACTGTGTTTCATACAGATACACTCTCACACACCCCCTAGCCAGGGGGATTCGCTGCCAAACACACGCCCTCCACCCCCACCACAGAGATATGTGCATGCACACACCCACAGAGACACATGTAGTGATTCAGACAGAGACACGGAGATACACAGACTTCACATATGCTCCACACCCGAGCCACAGAGAATCGTGTGTGTGTGCACACCCACAGAGAATCGTGTGTGTGTGCACACCCACAGAGACAAAGATAAACATGCAGTACAAAAACAGACAGAGCCAGATTTTTAAAGGTATTTAAATGCCTAAAGATGCAGCTAAGCACCTTACTACCTTTAAATATCTGTCTCACCCATCCTACATACAAAGACACACACACAGGCACTTGTATGCCAACCGTCCACAAAAACACATACACACCCAGACATACATAGGCACACATACACAAACATACAGTCTATACATACATCAAGAGACACACAAATTTACAGAGACATCAACACACCCAACATATGAACACAGACACAGATCATACCCTTATAAAAAGTCCTATAGAAGTTGAGAGAATGATAACCCTGCTATAGAACTCTACAGAATGGTTAAGAAGACTACAGAAATGGCTTTATTAAATCCTGTAGCTTTTCAGAGTAATTTCTGTAGAATCCTATTAAGTATCTCTGTTGGTTTAATTCCTGTTACATTCTATAGGTCTTCTCCACTAAGGCATGGAGAGGTACATATAAAGATACACAATCGGGCATATACACAGCATATACACAATCTACACAAATATGTACAGAAGTGTAGGTACACACACAGGCATGGACACACACAGAGAGAGGGCACAAATATGTACGCTATACATGCACCTAGACAGAGGCACACAACATATACACTGCATACATATACCCTACACTCACAGATAGAGCAGAGATACACAGACAGTGACACATAAACATGCACATTGAACATTCAAAGTCATATATATGCAGCCAAATCATATAGATATACATACACATATAAATGCACACTCCCTAACCACTCAAAGACAAAGGGGAATACCCTAGTCCAGGGGTTCTTAAACTGGGGGGTCGGGGCCCCTCAGGGGGTCGCGAGCTTATTACATGGGGGGTCGCGAGCTGTCAGCCCCCACCCCAAATCCTGCTTTGCCTTCAGCATTTATAATGGTGTTAAATATATAAAAAAGTGTTTTTAATTTATAAGGGCAGGTCACACTCAGAGGCTTGCTATGTGAAAGGGATCACCAGTACAAAAGTTTGAGAGCCACTGTCCTATTCAGACACCTACACAGAGTCGGACATGCACTGACACCCTGCACATATGCTTATGGAAAGTCCTACAGAGTGAGCAGAGAATAATATTCTCTCTGTAGAATTTCTAAGCCAGTCTATAGAATCCTATAACAGGGATAAAGGTCACTATTAAATTCTATAGGACAGTTTAAAAATTCTATAGCAAGGATATCATCATTCTCTATTAAAATCTATATGGATTTAGAATAATTTTTATAAAATCCTGTTTCATTTCTACAGAACCCTATTGTGTAAATCCCTATTAAATTACCTAGGACATGCATACAGAGCCATAATCAAACATACAGAGAGACAAACTTTACACACTCAGAGGTGCACACATACTGCACAAGGACAGCAGCACCTGGGTCCCTCCCATATGCATGTACATCCTACACCCAAAGATGTACAGACATAGACAACAGCCAGACCTGAAAAGGTGTCCATTTCAACCCAAAAGCCCTCCACAGAGTGCTAAAAACAACAGCAAGAAAATCCTTAAATATACAACTAACTGGAAAATAATATGCTACTGAACAAAACAAAAAAGGTAAGAGCGATGGTTTGACATTGATTGCCATAAAGTAACAAGAAAAGGAAGGAAATCTCTATTTTAAAATACTGTCTGAGGCCATTCTGTGCTACATATACCACAACATTCTGCAGAAGGGTAAATCATTGCTCATGTGACAATGAAATAATCACAGTAGTCCCTTTCTTCTAACACTGAACCAGGAACTGTATGAAAATAAGGACAACTGTATTGCCCCTAAAGCTATTCTGTTTCTCTTTGCTTCACTGTAGAACTTCAGGGCTAGAGCTTTTCCCAGTCTCTCTGTGGTCTGGTTTCCTGCTACCAATTTAAAGAAACAGTGCACATAACTTGACTGGGGCTATCATAGAAAAAAGTTAGTTTTTTCCTTCATAAAATCTGATGTTGGTGGAACTAATTGAGGAGACCTGGAAAGAACATAATCCAAGTGAAAAGGAACAAAATGTAGCAATCCAGAATGGTAAAAGCTGGAAAATGTAGAGACACACAAAATCCACATAGAAAACAGACACCCTAAATTATTCACCCTTAGGCCTCATAATAAATGCATCAGGAAGTTTCAAACCAGCTACATATAAGCACTGCCAAAAAAAAAAAAAACTTACTGTGGACTCCACCATATAAAGAAATCACTAGATAAAGACATGCCACTTCAAGCTGGTTGAAAATGGCCTTCCCCACACCCCCAAACCAAACCATTTTCCAGTTTTTCCAACCAAATGCAAACTTTCTCTCTCCTCCCCACCCCGGAAGACTCAACATTTTGACCAACACCCCCCCCCCCCGCAACATTTTTATTTAAAAAAATCATATTTGGCTTCCTCCCAAAAACTGCAGCAGCTTAAAAAAAAACCACACACCTCGTTTTTTAAAAAATTCCCATGAAAAACAACTGACATTTTTGACCAGGTTAAAAGCCATCGGCATGAATACTGTGTGACAGTACAAGTCAAACTAGTCACTAGGTCAGAACAAAGTCAGCTCTAACTCAAGACTACAAAATGGAGCAAAACCCTGGGAGAAAACCTTCAGCAATTCTGCAAGCTGGTACTGTGTGTACAGCAGTGGAGAATAAAACTAGGACAGTTCCTCCTATTGATCGATATCTAAACCATGTATTGTGCCCCGAGTATTACCTCATTAAAAGCAACACAAACTCCCTCCATCAGAAAGCAATACAGACCTACAAGATAAATACAAAAAAATGCTACTCCACTGGTGTGCAATTTCAATCCTGGCACGAATAATACTAGCCCACATGCTTCATTCCTGCAAAAAGTACTCAGAAGGAAATGCATTAATGCAAAAACCCCATAGCTCCATTGGTAGGTGCAAAGTGGGTGGGGACAAAACAGATGTTGGAGGGTTTGAGATCCATAGGGAAGCTGGCCCCCAACTGGATGGATCCTGCCCAGGTGTATACTGGAAGTAAAAGGTCCCTCAAGCAGAATTAATTTTGTGTGTGCTTATGTTTCACTCTATATGCATCCGAAGAAGTGGGCTGTAGCCCACGAAAGCTTATGCTCTAATAAATTTGTTAGTCTCTAAGGTGCCACAAGTACTCCTGTTCTTTTTGCGGATACAGACTAACACGGCTGCTACTCTGAAACACCACTTAGTGCTGCTCCTCCACCTCGCTTACATACTTTTCCCTATACCCCTTTAGGGATGTATTGAAGAGGGTGAGGGTGGCTACACAGAGACAAGCAACCTCCCACATAGCCACTTTCTCCCTCCTCATGGACAAAACAGAGAAAATGTCAGCCTCAAATAAGAAACTTTGAGAAAGTTCTGGACAGTTGGGGAAAAAAAGGTCAGAATGGAGGTTGGTGCGGGTCACAACCTCCTCATGGACCAATCATGTTTCGTCATAGCTTTCGTGTCACCTGGTTTTCGGAGGTGCTGAATGACAAGAGCTCAGCAGCACCTCTGACAAGTAGGCCACAATCCTGCAAATGACTATTTGAATCCCCCTGGAGCCCCATTCTATCTCTAACACTTACCAGGACGCCATTACAGTAGTGTCTGAGCTCCTCACAGTTTTTAATGTAGTTCTCCTAACATCCCTGTGGGGCAGGGAAGTGTTATCCCCGTTCTACAGCGGCACAGGGAGGCTTTGTGACTTGACCAACATCACACAGGAAGTCTGTGATGGAACCGAGACTTATATCTATGTCTCCCAAGTTCTAGGAGGCATCCTGGTCTGAAGAGTTCTGTGTAGCTCGAAAACTTGTCTCTTTCACCAACAGAAATAGGCCAATAAAAGGTATTACGTCACCCACCTTGTGTCTCTAATAACATTTACTGAATTCAGTGGACACACACGCAGGAAATCACACACCCCCACACCCATGCCAGGTTATTCTAAATTTATTTATATGTAAAGGGATATATTTGTCCCCCTTAGGATAAGCAAATCCACCCTTTAAAAATGGGAATGCTAGTGTGATTAGTCTGTACCAGTCTTCCACAGGCAAAATGTCCCTTCCTGAATCATTGAAACATCCCTGCAAACATGCCATTTAACTACGATACATTTATTTTTAAATAGCATTTAAGCTGCATTGGCGTTTCAGCTTTCATTTAAAACCCACAAAAGCAAAGATATTCAGCATTAAGGTGGAAAACCCAGGCAGCTATTCTGTCCTGAATTCACCCCCTTGCAGCCAGGGGAGGGAGGGGGGGTGCGGAATACAGCAGCGGCTTAAAGCCAAAGTGTCTGTCTGGATTTTCAGCCTTGATTTTGAAAAACAGTTCTGTCCTGTTGTTAGTTTAGGAAAGACCTTTAGTCTTCCCTAAATGTAGGTTTTTGTGATTGATCTCATGGGTTTGTTTTCTTTGCAATAGTATTATTGCATAAGAGCGATTTTACTTGGAAAGAGAACTCACAATTTTTTCCCTATCAGCAACATATGTATATTAGCCCTTCCAATAACATCAATCTACTGTGCTCCTCCATACAATGGTAATAATCTTAACAAAACACCCACTGTCTAGTCTGTTACCACTGACAATTGCTTAAGATGGTTTAAAACTGGAAAATATATATAATGAAGGCTCTGATCCTGTCCTCGTGGAAGACAATGGGAGTACTGTC